AAAAAAAATATTTTTATTGATTTCAGAGAGGAAGGGCAAGTGAGAGAGATAGAAACATCAATGACAAAAGAGAATCATTGATCAGCTGCCTCCCACACCCTCCCACCCAATCCCCACTGGGGACCAAGCTCACAACCGCAACCCGGGCATGTGCCCCGACTGGGAATCAAACCGTGACTTCCTGGTTTACAGTTCAATGCTCAACCACAGAGTCATGCCAGCCGGGCAGTGCCACTTTTGAGGGGTATTATTTCAGGTATTTTAAAGTAGTATTAACCTAGTCAGGGGTCCTCAAACTACGGCCCGTGGACCACATGCGGCCCGCCGAAAACATTTATCCGGCCCGTCGGTTGTTTTTGCCGCCGCTGTGTGCATAGGAATTTGTTCATAGTTTTTTGTTTTTTTTTTTTTAACTATACTCCAGCCCTCCAACGGTCTGAGGGACAGTGAACTGGCCCCCTGTTTAAAAAGTTTGAGGACCCCTGATAGATGCACAAGAACAATGGGCAGGGCTGGTGTTAAAGCCTTCAGTAAATAAGTTAAGTTATAGGCTTGGAGTATGTCTACTCATCATGACCTGCCTAATTAAGAATTTATCATCAGATCACCCTGTGAGGTACTTTCCATGGAAACCCTTATTTTTTTCCACAATATTTATGGTTTCAGAAATGTTTGGCACCAAATTAAAATATTTTATGCAACTTTTTGAATTCTTCATTGCATCATTCTATGGGTTCTATCATATTTTCAAAATGTGTCCTTGTACTGACCAGTATAACTTTGTGTATTCTTGTGTAGAAAATTGTTGCAGTCATTGCTTACCTGTTCAATCAGGTTAAATGAAACTTTAAAATTAATGGTAAAATTGGTAAATTTAAGATTGGTAAAATCATGTTAGTAATTTCAAAATTAATCTCTCAATATGGGGTGAAACTTGTACTCATCATTGACAAAAGAATCTGTAAATACAATTAAAATTGTGGTACTCACGATGGGTCATTAATGACTGTTTTCAATGCATTGAGCAAATCTGCACTAGACATGGTGTTGAAGTCCATTCTGATAGCTGCTCCCTTGGTCTTCATGCGAGCAATGTTATCAGGTTGATCTGCAAACATAGGGATGCCCACCACAGGGATCCCATGATAGATCGCTTCATAGATGCCATTGGTTCCACCATGAGTTATAAAGGCTTTGGTTTTTGGATGACCTAAGATTGGGTGAATTTCAGTAAATTACTAATTATAAGTCTTAGAAATAAAATGAGAATTGGGTAAGAAAAGCACTCAGGCACTGTATTCTAGATGACAGATTATTATACACATGAAACTGCATTAAAATATATTTTAGATCTCAGAGAAAGAAGAACTTTAGTTGCTCAAGAGGTAAATAGATACTGGTATGGCATTGTGACTTGAAAAATGAATAAAAGAAGATTGCTGAGACAAGTTGAAAGAGAACGTTCTGCGAGGGGCGGGTGCTGGGGGAGGGGGTCAATGGGGAAAAAAGGGACAACTATAATACTTTCAACAATAAAGATAAATTTGAAAAAAAGAAAGAGAACATCATGGATAAAAAATAGCATGTGCAGAAAAAAAGGAAAAAAAGAAAAGGAGGTGGCATGTTAGAACATATTCTCATAAAGAAATAGTGTAGCCACATGTGGGGTATTACGTGTGGGGTGTCCAGGCAGCAGGAAATGTGAGTGTGGTGACTCTGGAATCAGATGAAGAACAGACCACACTTCATCACTTCATGAAAAAGATTATGGCTATTCTTTATTGAAAATGGAGTCACTGGTAATAAATGAGGTGTTCTTATTTTTTAATGGCAATGAATGAATACCCATACAGAAGTGGAAAAAATAGAAATAAGAAGGGAGAACTAGGAGGCAGAGTGGTAGTTATTGAAAAATTCTTCATGAGAAGTAATTACACCTGAAATAAAGATACTTGATTTCAGACATAAAGAAGGAGATGGTCTATAATAACATGTTAGCTTTTATATGTTATCCTTTTCCCCCAGGACTGGCAAACAAATATAAGGAAATTAAGTTGTTTTTTTTTTTGAGTTTTTGTTAAATAAATGTTCAATAAATTTGTTTATTTTTGAAGTATTATCACTCTCTTTGGAGTTATTGTTATTTTAGTGTTTGTTTTTCAGTCTCACCAAGAAGGTCATTCTGGGGGATCCACTTATAGAGCCGAGTATTTGGCCCTAAGGTATCTGGTTTCTTGCCGTCAAATCTCCATAGAACCTGTTAAAATAAAGAAAATATTTTATTTCATGAGTTGAACTAAAGGTATAGCATGTTCAGATTATAAAGAAATTAAGAGATAATCTAGTTAAAGCCCTTCATAGACAGATAAGTAAAAGGACAAGGGATTAAAAATGAGAACTATTATAACACTGGTATGATAAAAGTACCCACATTTTATGTGTTTAATTTTTACATTCAATCAAGTATGAATGCAATCATGATGTGGAACACATACAGGTATACAAATGAGATCATCAATGATAAATTAAAGTATTTAAAAATTTTAGGCCTGGCCAGCATGGCACAGTGGTTGAGCATTGAACCATGAATCAGGAGGTCACGGTTAAATTCCCAGTCAGGGCACATGTCAGGGTTGTGGGTGTGTGGAAGGCAGCCGATTAATGATTCTCTCTCATCATTGATGTTTCTATCTCTCTCTCCCTCTCCCTTCCTCTCTAAAATCAATAAAAATATATTTTAAAAAATTTAGATCTAGTCATAATTCTAGTGCAAAAAAAGTAGGTATTTACTGCACATATCTAATCTAACAAAAGAGAAACATGCAAATTGACCATACCTTCACTTCACAACAAGCCATGCCCACTAGCCAATCAGAGCAACTATATGCAAATTAACCCAACCAAGATGGTGGCTGGCAGCCACGGAGCTAGAGCAACCAGGAGGCTTGGTTGCCCCGGCGATGGAGGAAGCCAAGCTTCCCCACCTGCCCTGGCCAGCTGTTGCCTCCGCTAAAGGTAATAAAGTTTTAATTATAGAAGATAAATAAATCCCAGATACTTGCTTCCAGCCAGCCTCCATTGGCAGCTTGGATGGCTGGGAGCTGTGGCCAGCCTGCAAACAGCCATCAGCCCCTCACCCAGGCTGGCCAGGCACTCCAGCAGTACCCCCACCCTCATCCGGGACACATTTCAGGGCAAACCAGCCAGCCCCCACCAATGCACCAAGCATATAATAAAAGGGTAATATGCAAATTGATCCTAACAGCAGAACGACTGGGAATGACTGGTCACTATGACACACACTGACCCCCAGGGGGCGGACGCTCAATGCAGGAGCTGCCCCCTGGTGGTCAGTGCGCTCCCACACGGGGAGCTCTGCTCAGCCACAAGCCAGGCTGATGGCTGCCAGCACAGCAGTGATGGCAGGAGCCTCTCCTGCCTCCTCAGCAGTGCTAATGATGTCCGACTGCAGCTTAGGCCTGGTCCCCACTGGCAAGTGGACATCCCCTGAGGGCTCCTGGGCTGCCAGAGGGATGTCTGACTGCCAGCTTAGGCCCATTCCCCGAGGAGCGTGCCTAAGCCAGCAGGTGGTCATCCCCCGAGGGGTCCCAGACTGCGAGAGGGCACAGGCCGGGCTGAGTGATCCCCCCGAGTGCACAAATTTTTGTGCACCAGGCCTCTAGTACTATATAATAAAACCCTAATATGCAAATCGACAGAACGGCAGAACAACTGGTGGAATGACTGGTCACTATGATGCTCACTGATCACCAGGGGGCCAACACTCAACGCAGGAGCTGCCACTTGGTGGTCAGTGCACTCCCACAGGGGGAGTACTGCTCAGCCAGAAGCCAGGATCATGGCTGGTGAGCGCAGCAGTGGTGGCAGAGCCACTCTCACCCATGTGACCATGCTAAGGTGCAGCGAGCTGAGCAGTAAGGAGCAGCGCGCAGGCAGGCAGTAAGGAGCGAGGGGTCTTGGATTGTGAGTTGAGTGGCCCTAACCCAGCAGTCAGACATCCCCCAAGGGCTCCCGGACTGCAAGAGTGTGCAGGCCGGGCTGAGGGACCCCCCCCTCCAGTGCACAAATTTCGTGCACCAAATCTCTAGTTTATTTATAATTTCTCTCATTTTGCAATGTAATATTAACCTGTATTTTTAAGTGTCACAGAAGGGAGTTTTCTTCTATCCACTTGTCTCATAAGTTATTTTTTTAAATCAAAGATTTAACTTTATTTTCACATTTTTTTCTGTTTTATTTTTCTATTTAGAGTCACTAATTATTTTTTACTTTTATACTTTTTCTTTATTGAATTTATTGGGTGACACTGATTAACAAAATTATACAGGTTTTAGGTGTGTAATTCTACAACACATCATCTGTACACTGTATTGTGTGTTCACCAAGCAAAATTAAGTTTCTGCCCATCACCATTTATCCATCCTATACCCTCCTGCACCTCTCCTCATCCCCATCCCCTCTGAAATCATCACACTGTTGTCTGTGTCCATGAGATTTTCCCTTTTTCTCAATCCCGCCACTCCCCTCTTCCCACCAGCCTCCTTACCCCTATCCTGAGAGCTGTCAGTTGCTATTTATGAGTCTGTCTCTTTTCTGTTTGTTTGTGTATTTAGGTTCCACATATGAGTGAAATAATATGGTATTTGTCTTCTTCTTACTGGCTTACTGCACTTAGTGTAATACTCTTTAGGTCCATCCTTGCTGCCCCAAAGGTAAGATTTTCTTCCTTTTTATGGCAGAGTAGTATTCCACTGTGTAAATGTACCACAGCTTTTTGATCCCCATGAACCAACAATTTATCACTATGTCTAGGGTTGAAAAATTTTTAAATGTAAAAAAGAAGAGCCTGTTAGCACTTTATTACAGTATAGCTGCTGAAAAAATCCAAAATTATGATGATGCTAAAGTTTTTTCAACTAAGTGTTAACACTTCAATGACACACTATGTACATGGACAGCACTGATTACTATGGGACCTGTAGCCAAGCTATTTTTATAGCCAGGAACAAAATAGATTCTGATTTTGGAATTCTCATAAATATCAGCAGTTCACATAAGCTGGATTATAATTTACTAGTGCTCAACATTTATTTGTTACGTCAATTTTAAAGTAGAAGCAGGTTTTCAGCAATTATTAACACAGGCTATAAACAGAAATTACATCAGCTAGGAAACTAAAAAGTAGTTCATAAATGCCCAAAGACTGCAGGTGTATTCTATAAATATATTGGAAAATATCTTACTACTCTGTTTTATTGAGAAGGGGGCATATGAACTTTTCCATACTGGACTTACTTCAAATGGACTCCTCATTATATTCCCTAATCCTTCCTCAACCGGGAGGAGTTCTTATTCTGATGGGTTAGAAGCAGAGATTTTTGGCAGCCATCTTATATAATAAAAGGCTAAAATGAAATTAACCAAACTGCAGAATGACAGGCCCCTATGACGTGCACTGACCACCAGGTGGCATACTCTCAATGCAGGAGCTGCCCCCTGGTGGTCAGTGAGCTCCCACAGGGGAGGGCCATTCAGCCAGAAACTGGGTTCATGGCTGGCGAGTGCAGTGGCAGTGGCGGGAGCCTCACCCGCCTCTGTGGCAGTGCTAAGCTGTCAGTTGTAACATCCCCCGAGGGCTCCTGGACTGCAAGAGGGCTCAGGCTGGGCTGAGGGACCACCCCCGACCAAGTGCATGAATTTTGTGCACTGGGCCTCTAGTCTATATATATAAAAAGCCAGCAACCGAACGCTGTAATGACCAGAACGACCATTCACTATGACGCCCACTGCAGCCAGCAAACTGGCCTGATCTGGTGGTGGGGCCAGCCGGCCAACCTCCCGCGGCCCCTCCCCCCAGCTTCCCTGCCCTTGCTTGCCCTCCCTACCCCAATAGAGGGTGGGGCCACTGGCCAACCTTCTGTAGTTTCTCCCTCCACCCGGCCCCAAACCGATTGGCACAAGGCCCCTCCCCCCAGCCAGCTCTGCCCTCGATCGCCGCCCCCCACACCAATTGGGGTCAGAGCCCGCCAGGCAATTGTCCATGGCTTCTCACCCCAGCCGGCCCAGCCCTGATTGGTCCCAATCAGGGTGGGCGGGCCGGTCAACCTTCTGCTGTTTCCTCCTCTGACAGGCCCAGCCCGATCTGCCCCAAGGGCTAGGCAGGCTGGACCCCACCTGTGCACAAATTCGTGCACTGGGCCTCTAGTATTTTATAAAGCACACGTCACCTTAAGGGTGGATCCACCTCCCCCCTTTCTAATTTATTCCTCCACTTTTATAGGACTCAATCAACCAGATCATGACAGCTTTTCTTTCTCTAGATCACTGTGGCTGGCTTGGGTACCTGGACCCAGCTTAGTGAGTCCTGGCTATTCTTTCTCTGAATAGCACCCAGAAATCACACTGAATAAGTCTATTTTGAAAATTTGGGAAGTAAGAGTGGCCTGGATTACTTAGCAAACCTAAAATGGCATGACTTCTTTCAGACTGTCATCAATTCCTGCTTAACATCACTGTTAGAATTTCTGAGGACATGTAGTTTGTACCATGTCTTCAGGAATTCTGCAATGAGATGGAGCAAATGACAGGGCAGAGTTTGGTGATTTTGGTACCCTCCTGCAATTCTATATAATAAAGAGGTAATATGCAAATTAACCCTTCCGCTGTAACGCTGTCACAAGATGGCAGCATGCACAGCGAAGGTGGGGCAGCAGAGGTGGGGCCGGCATCTGCTTCGCACTGTTTCTTCCAGGGTTTTCGTGGCCCCACATGCCCGGAGGCAGGGCATTGGGGTGGCACTCCAGGACTCGGGGCCATCTTGTGGCACGCCCTTCACGTGGAGCAGGACTCCGAGACTCAGACTGGAGGGCCAGAGCCTGGAACAGTGGGAAGGAGTGCAGGCACTGGCCCTGTGGGTAGGGGTGTGGCCTTGGCCTAGCCCAGAGATTGCGGGAGGAGTAAACTCAGGCACAGGTATTATTAGAGTTAAAAGCAGGGACATGGGCACAAGGGACAGATGTGGAGTCAGCAGAATGAGGGTGCACACTGATAGAGAGGAGGGGCCATGGAGTAGTGTACGCAATGACGTACCCTGAACGTGAGGGCACACCTGGTCCGTAGGGCGTAGCTTTGCTGCCCTCAGAGGCATTCCCAAGAAAGTCCTGCTAGAAGGAGGTTTGAACCCAGGCGGAGGGCAGGTGCTTGACCGTGAAAGAGGCTGTGAGCAAAGCTGACGTGCCCTTAGGGGGCACAGCCAGGGCATGGCTTAAGGCGTTGTTGGGTAGTCAGGAGCAGAATGTGAATAAGCGAAATGACGTGACCAGTGTGAGGGGCGTAGGGGGGCGTACGGGGGCATAGCCGAGATGGCCGCCCGCATGAACCTGATCCCAGTAGCAAGTGCAGGGGTTTGTGCTCAGAGCGTTTGGGTAAGGTCCCATGGTGGGGGGGCGGGAGGAGGGGTCCGGGTCTCCCGCAATTTCATGCGACGGGTCACTAGTATCACTATAACACCAAACTTTACATTGTACCTCTTAAATACATTTCATTCTGATCACAATATTAATGCCAAAGTTACTGTTAAACACAACATTTGTACTACTATTTTAGCTCCGGCCTTGTATATTTTGATTTGAATTCATAGCTGAGATAAATAGGAGCTATCATAATGGCTTACATATCACACAGGAAATTTATGTAATTAGCGCCTAGATAGTTGTGCACTATTAAGGTGCTTCCAGTGGTCGGCAAACTGCGGCTTGGCAAACCGCGGCTCACGAGCCACATGCGGCTCTTTGGCCCCTTGAGTGTGGCTCTTCCACAAAATACCAACTTCTGCGCATGGGCCAGGAAGTTTCAATCGCACTGTACGTGCGCGCCCTCCGAGTCCACGCTGTTTTCTCCCACCACCTGCTGTCTGAAATCGCCGTCAAGAGTCACCTTGAAGAGGGAGCGGTAAGCACATTGAACAGAGAAGCGCCTGGCCCTGAGGTCTGACCCTGGCTCTGCTGGGCCAGGTGTGGGACCACACAGGGACCACCCCCGAACTGGCCCTAAGTGCCACCATCTGTAAAATGAAATGGTAGAAGGCAACGAGCAGCCCCTCGTGGCTCCACATTCTAGGATGTCAACACCACGGAGGAAATGCAGGGGCTCAGTTCTGAGAGCAACGTATACTGGGCTGAAGAGGCGGGAGGGGCAGGCTAGGGACTGAAAGAGGAGTAGGTATTTGATAGGAGGGGGCAAGAGGAGGCTGAGGTGACAACTCTGCCCTCTTCTCCAGAGCCTCGCTGATAAGCTTCAGGGCAGATCAAAGGACTCGGGGCCCAGGGAGGAACATCAAGTGGACATTGATTGGCATCTAGGAAGGAGATGCGGAGCAGGAGACAGCCAGTGACAGATCTGCTTTCCCTCTGCACCCTGAGACCAGGCTGTGTGCTAAGGCTGCTGTTGGCTGCAGGGCGGCCGAGTTGGTGGCACGGAGAGGGCCAGACGCAATTGCAGAGCCAGCGCGGTCTTTCTCTCCTAATTTTCCCTGGCTGCCATTTTCACATGAAAACGATAAAAGATCCCAGAAATGGGAGGTGCACTTAATGGGGTTTTTTGGCACCAAGAAATTAATCTTTTTTAAACCAAGGGGATTTTT